CCCCCCCCCCCCCCCCCCCCCGCCGCCCTTCTCCTCCCCCATATAGGCAGCGCCACAATTCCGTAAACATTACATTAAAGAATCTGGGAATTACATGAATATCACTCACGCAGGTGGATTCTGCAATGTGCACAGAACCCAGCCAAGCTTATTCATGCGATCGGCCAAAGCATAAACGTTGAAGCCTTTACTGGTGAACGCCACAGTTGCAACGTCCGATTCACCAACCAATCGTACATGCGTGCAATTCTCAATGCCAGTACGTATTGCACGCGTTGTTTCGATTATTGCTTGTGTCCGTTCTGTATATCTATAAATAACGAGATACAATAATTCGTATTAAAATCGCAATTCTCAACTGAAAATGCAGATGACTTCAAAGCCGACTGATTTACAGGAAGTCATAAATAAATGCTATTTTTCCAGTTGCCTTACAGAACAAACTGCAGCGGCACCGCGATCTGATACTTTTTCAGTGCAATCCAGAACAACTGACGGCACAGCAGCAAAAGGGTACTCTTTTTCTATTGTTTTTTTTTTTTGCCCCAGTCTGTTAAGTCAGCGTTCATCTCATTTTGAAAAAAATGCACTAATCTTTTCCATATCTTTCATGTACATGGGTAAATTTCAACGCTTTTTTTATTTATTAGCACTGCTGGGCAAATTCCAAATCCTGCAGCTCAAGTTCCCGGATTTCTTTGCCCCCTTTCTCAATCCGTTTCCTCTCCCCTCCCTCCGCCCACTCTCTTTGAAAAATCTCGACCTTTCTGGGCATAAAATGAAATAGAGGAGTTGCGTTGGATCCAAATCTGAACTGTTTCTAATATCAAATTATGCTACATATAAAAAAGTCAATCCCAGCACTGCGCTACTCACAACTGCTTTCAGAACGCCTACCCTTGTCTTCCGTTGTACAGTAAGGTTGCCCATGTTAGCGCTATCGCACAACCATCTCGAGCTCCAGCTAGCGTTGGAGTCATGTATATACCACCGGGCCATTCGCTACTGCAAAAGTATTGATGGTGCAGCAGTGCTGATTCACGGTACAAAATCATTGAAGTTCCTGAAAATACTGACAGTTTTTCATCAGATTTACCATTAAAACTTACAGTAACGAAAATTTCTGTTTTCTTCAGCATGAGTTCAATGGTAGAGAAAAATCACCGTTCGGAGCAAAACCATATTTCTGCGTATCACATGAAATCGAAGTTACACCCGGAACACGAAAATCGAAAGGCTTCACTGAGATGTCACAACGTTCCATGAATGACAAGATGAATCCGCCAAGAGTTGCATCAACATGCAACGGAATACCATACCGCTGACTTAGCTGCAACAATTTTTCAAACGAATGCAACACCGATAAATTGCTAAATTCTAAATTTGGGCAAAAAATATGAAATACATTAACATCTCAGTCTGCTCTATACATTCAATTCAGTTGCCTGATCTTCAGAATCTTGCTTTTTATGCCCTTTTTTTGAAGAATCAAGCTTCAGAATAGAGTCTTTTTTGAACGAATGTCAACCCCCCCCCCCCTCCCCTTCTTCCATTCCCCACCCCCTCCGTTGCCCTCTCTATTCCACTTGTCCATTACTTATAGCTCAGTGTACAATTTGATTTCAAAACCTAAAAATTCGCTTTTTATACAGATCGCTTCTGAAGCTCTATCGGCTAAATTTTCCCCACGCCTAAATGAACTTCGACTCTATCGCGGAAAATCCACAAAAAGCCAGCAAAAAAAGCCACCAAGAACCATATACTAGACAAAGAAAGACAGCCAAGATAGAAGAAAAAAAGATAACTGTACTACTTAACTGAGCCACCCAAGAAAAGAAAGGTGTATCCCGCCTTAAAAGGCAGACACACAGTAAATGCTCTCCCAGGCTAAATTGGGGTACAACCACCGGCGGTGTAGTGGATAGCACATCATGTCCGAATGTGAAAGGGAATGGTTCGATTCTCTTCCGCTATAACTTCTTCGAAAGGCATTCACAGTGGGCTCCTCTCATTCAGCTCAGCCTCTACAACTTTGTGTCCCATTTACCATTTACTAATAAGCAGCAGAGAGTACCTCAGAAATTGCTTCGATGTTGTCGACAGTGCCCGATGAATAGTTTGGAGCCGAGGCGACAAGCTGAAAAAAATACACTGACAGAAAATTAAACAGTTTCCACTGAAGCAAGCCTAGCTATATCTCCATTCGAGAAATATACTGATAAGTGATTTTACTTTGATTTCTACTTACTACAGCTATAACTGTTTCTGGTCAGAACGCTATGATAAAAAGGTAATTGGGCCGTTCAATCCGGCATATTATTATTCCCTTCCTGGAAATATTTCGCGCAAAAACAAACTCACCATACACGTTTCATTACTGATTGCACGTTTCATTGCTCCAACGTCGGCTCTCTGATTCTTATCCACAGGCACATGCCGGATACGCATTTGGAGTAGACGTGCTGCTTTATCGAATGATGCATGCGCAGTCACTGGTACCACCATTTCTGGATGTCTGATACCGCGAGCGAATGCACGATTACGATAAGCTAAATCATCCATGTTTTATGCTTTTTGTTCACAAAATATCTCTGTTTTAACAGGCAGATACTACTTGAACACTTGTGCAGCTGTTTGTCATCGACGATCTACGCCGCGCTAACGATGCAGCTGGCAATTTCTCCAGTTCGATTCGTTGCTGCTATCCTCGAGTCCACGTGGTGCCATACAAGCGTACCATGGGGTCTCTCCACCTCACTGGTGCTCCGCCCCCCACCCCCCAAAGTGCTCGCTTGACTGTGCGCGGGTACCATTCCATTGTCCGCTTCGTTCCACTACTATCTGTTATCCGTGTCACATGACTAGTCCATCTCTTCTTGATGGCGCACATTTTTTTAAATAATATCGCTCGGGCGAATAAAGACGATTATTGAAAGGTACCACACAATTTTAAAAGAATATAGGGTAAGTCAGAGTTGGGAAGACCTTCTTGAGCAATTATATGGGAAAATATGTAAATAAAAGACGCTTAAAAGAAAATGAATAAACCCTCAGTCGCATGAATGACCAGAAGAAGCATGACTATGGAAAAAGTAACTGGTCAAAGGGCTAGACTCGGACTGCTTGCCATTTCATCGCTCTGCCATCAGTGGAAGGAAAAGCTTTTCACGGTTGCTCTGGCTGACGCTGTATTATCCAACAGTCAACCTAACATTAATCTTAGTAATTATCTTCTTGCGTGTTCCTCCCAATTTTTCCCTTCCCCTTCCTGCCTCTCCCTCTTCCCGACCGATGGGAAATGATAGGCGCGTTGCTGTGCCGCCTGCGTGACCTCTCATATCGCTTTCTGCGCTCCTCCGTAGTGACCATCATTCATATACTGATAGTAAGCTGCATATTTTTCAGGAGTGATGGGCCCTGGATCAAAAGAAAACCGAAGCTATACTAAGAGATGATCACATGGCGCTTCAAATCTCTTTTTTAAACAACAGAAAAATTTAAGATTTAAAAAAAATCCGAGAAAGTTTAAGAAATGAATAAAATTTAAAAATGAAAATCTAAAAAAAATGAACAAATACCTAAGCAAGCTAATATATTACTTTCGGTATCGCAAGAAGTGACCGCCCCACACGAGCCCGAACCACCATGAAGAAGTGAAGCAACGATGCGTACAATTTCCGCTTCCATTTTGCGAGAGCCAGGAAAAAGATCAGGATACACAGGATCCGAATAAGCAAAAAGTGAAAACATCTGCAATGGTACGTCTCTCTCACTCACGGTAAAATTTTTGGAAGTTTAAGTCTTAATGATTCTTTTAAAAAGAAAAAAGCAAACAAAAGCAATCAATCTGACCTTCTGCAGCAAATCCCTGTGTTCCTCGTCAATATCTGCGAAAACAACGCCAGAAACCCGTCCTTCGTGAAATGCAAACTCACTCATTGACTTGTACAATTCTGCCTCAGAAAGTATATCAACGGCAGAAAGTCCGCGTTCAGGCAGGAACTTGTAAAACTCCTGAAAGATACGCAAAAGAACTTAGAATGTAGAATGATTTAGTCTACTGCGAGTTCTTAAAGTTTCATAGGAGGCACGCTTTATAAAATTTCCAAAATACAGCATTTATGTTCATTTTAAAGCCATGCTGCTTCTGCGAAATAATAACTCTGTTTAAAATCATGCAATTTAGCTGCATTGTGTCTATCGCCAACCTTCATTCTTAGATTTTGCTTCAGGAACTGATCAGTACTCAGCAAATTTATCCTTCCTAATAATTCAGAAATTAAACGTTTAGTTAGCAAACTATTCTTATAAAAAGAGTTTCCTTATAACTGACAGATACTGGCTGCCCGTATCATGTCTTAATTTCCTCTTCTTTCTCTCTTCTCTCACTTTGCTCGTCCTCTCTCTGTTTTCTCTTTTTTATCGATTAGTCACATGTCTGTCCAGTACATGACGAGTAAGAGGCTGTACTGATGATTCCCGCTTGCATCCGCATGCAAAGTCCGGTCTGAGTTTACAGCTAAGGGATGAAACACACGGACAGACTGCATCACAAAATGTCTTCTTACACATTACACTTAAGTTCAATCCCTCTATTCTATTCTACTATTTCACTGTATAACAATTTATGCCTTTAAACCATAACGATTATCAGAATCATTAGTAGTACTACCAGCAACTACCAGAACTGTTAGTATTGTTACAGCGATGTCATCCGAAAGAGCACAATGATGAGCAAGTGGCTGTTCAAAATCACACATTACGGAGGTCAGAACAAACATGGCTTAACCGAGGCAGGGTACAAGTGTAGCCTGATGGGACAAAGCTTAAGCAGAACCTTTCTCCTGTCGTACTGATGAATTGTTTCCTCGAGATCTCTCCTTGCTTTCTCCATTTCCTCTTCGATCTGCAGCTTCACCCATGGTATCATTCGGATTGCCGAAAAAACCTGAAATAACAATTGTGAGATAACAGCGGCACTTCATCTACTTTACATATCTCTGGTAAGTCTCAGCAGATAACTGGGAAAAAAGCAACCTCGTGTCTTTCAAACTGCAAGAGTGACTTTGCTTTAATTTTTTTTTTTTTTTTTTTGGTGCTCTGTTTTCTCTTTCTCATTACTGCTATCTGCAGTTTTTGTCTCGAGCTCCTGACTTGTATCCTCGTTCCCTTCTCTACTCTGTCCTCAAATCCTGCCTGCAAAACAACATCTCAGCTCCTTTCCATCCTCACTACAACAGTACTCTGGAAGCAAGCAATATTTCAGCCCTTTCCTTATCCCGGATATGCACGGCAAAAACCAGGACACACTTCCTCTTCTTTTCTACCCATCACCTCCTCAGTAAGTACGAACAAGGGGAAGGAGGACCGAGGATTACTTTGGTTACAAGCTGCAAAAGTCCTGATAACGAACTCGTTGCTTCGATGAGGTTTTAGGTATCGCATTCAAGCTTGCTAACTTTTCCTCAGCATCAAATTTTAGGGTGACCATAAAAAAATCCACAAGCTGAGCCAAGTTTTAGTGACCAGCCATAAAAAAGCAAAAACGTGCCGAAATGCAAGTGAACTGACCGTAGCACGAATACGCGCGGCGAGCGGCCGATCGGCTTTGATCAGGCGCCGGAACCACATGAAAAGGCAGGCCAGCGAGATTGTGTAAGAGACGATCTGCCAGGGCTCCAGGTGCACGCAGGCCCGATTGAATCCCACTCTGCCATCGTCCACTGCCTGTGCGATCAGTCGCCAGGTATGACCACCGTCCGGCGACCACCAGTCGTCCATCGCAACACTGAAACATCATCATC